ATTGCTAGACGTCACTTGTTTCAAGATTGCCAAGAATACCTAGGGTGCGCCCGTTACCTCCGTCAACCAGGCTGCGAACATCCAACAGCCAGCTGTCCAAATAACTGCTTACATCTGCCTATGTGCATCTCTTCTTCTACAATCTCCTCTCTCTATGCATCATGAAATACCTTAGGGGCATTCTGCTGCCCGCCCTGCTGGCTCTCGCGTCCTTATCAACCGCTAAAAAGGACGCGCCTCTTGTTGAGGAGACCGTGTTCAAGACCGAGCTCGTGAATCTCTTTTACTTCGACGACTCCGAGGTTGTTCTATTTGCTGAGTTCGAAACTGGCCTCGTATACCGCTCTCAAAATGCCGGCAAGGACTGGGAAAAACCTGGCATTAAGACCATAGGCATTATCAAGAACCCTTATGACAACAACGTCGCCATTGCCCTTGGCGACGGAACACATCACATCACTTATGATCAAGGTGGATCATGGCAGAAGTTTAAAACAGACTGGTTGCCCTCACTCAATCCTGTTAGTTGGCATGCGAAAGACAACAAGAAGATTATATTCAATTCCGCGGAAGATTGTTTCGGTTTGCCTTGCATTGGCTTTGTAAGTCAGCACAAAATACCTCCTGACCCTACCCACAGCTAACAGTCGCGACAGTCTGTATATACTGATGATGGTTTCAAAACCCCACCCAAGCCTCTCCGCGACGACCGCAAGCTGTGCATATGGGCGAAAGGCTCCGAGCGCTTCCTACAAAACGATGAGAAACATGACGACCGTATATTATGCATTGTAACGGGGAAGTTCTCGCCAAGAGTCAAGGATTTGAGGCTGCTCATCACAGATGATTATTTCAAGAGCGAGGACGAGCCAGTCATGTCTTCTGGCCGGACCGTTTCCGGCATGGTCAACATGGCATCAGTCAAAGGTTACATTGTTGCAGCTGCCAAGTCTGACCACTCGAGCGAGCTGGGGCTGTATGTGACCGATGATACAGAAACTTGGCATAGAGCTGAATTCGGCGAAGGAAAGGTGGAAGAAGACGCATACACAATCCTGGAATCTACAAATTACAGCATTCAAGTCGATGTTATGAGTTCTAAAGACGTGCCGATAGGATCTCTATATTCCAGCAATTCTAATGGCACGTACTTTACAAAAATAGTCGACCATACCAATCGCAGTCCGGATGGCTATGTCGATTTCGAAAAGATAGCCAGCATTCAGGGCGTCTTCCTCGTTAATGTGGTCGAAAATTGGAAGGATATATCTGGGCGGAGGTCGGAGAAAAAACTCGCGTCAAGAATCAGTTTTGATGATGGTCGCACACTGGAGCCTCTCAGAGTCAAAGGCAACGATGGGAAGCTCCATCTTCACTCTGTTACAAACTTGCATAATAGCGGTCGCGTCTTCTCTAGCCCCGCTCCCGGTATTGTCATGGGCGTAGGCAATACTGGGGAATATCTCAGAAAATACGAGGATGGAGATCTATGGGTTTCTGATGACGCCGGCATCAGCTGGGAGTTGGCGCTCCAGGAGGCTCACAAATACGAATTTGGCGACCAAGGTTCTGTCCTAGTAGCCGTCTATGATGAAGGCGATACCGATAAGATCATGTATTCTCTTCAGCACGGGCGTCCGGATACTTGGAAAGAGATTAAACTCGATTCCAAAATCTCTGCTCGTGAACTTACCACGGTCCCGGATTCGACCAGCCTCAAGTTTGTTCTATATGGCTCAAGAACTAAACAGGGCGGTGGTCGTGAGTACGTCATCATCCACCTAGATTTCACCGAACTACATGAGCGCCAATGCAAAGACGGAGATTTTGTGAAATGGTCTGCTCACAAAGATGAAAAAGGAGAAGATACATGTGTTATGGGTCACAAGCAGATTTTCCGCCGGCGGAAGTGGGACGCAGACTGCTTCGTACAAGCGGATTTCAAAGAACCTGTTGCCGAATTTGAACCATGTGAGTGCGACGAATTCAGGGACTACGAATGCGACTTCAACTTCAAGCCGAGTGGGGAGGGCAAAGAGAAGGAATGCAAGCCTTCTGGAGCACTCAAACTACCCGATGGGGCCTGTAAAGGCGATGCAAAGACATACAAAGGAAGCTCGGGATGGAGAAAAATCCCAGGCAATCAATGTAAAGGGACGACAAAGAAAGACGAACAGCAAGAGCGGCCGTGCGGTGAAGCCTCTTCCCCACCTTCAGACAATAAGGTTAAAAGTACAAAATCCAAGTTCAAAGGCGACAAATTCCGCGAATACTATTATCTAGAACGGGACACAAAGCTCGACAATGATAATGATGGTGGTAAAGACAAAGATGAGACAGTTGTGTTGCTCACAAGCGAGTTGGAAGCTTGGATCTCGCACGATCATGGGAAAAACTGGGAGAAAGCAATTGACGATGATATTGTAGCCATATACCCACACCAGTACAACAATGACCGGGTCTATTTCCTGACCGCAACCGACAAGGTGTACTATTCCAAAAACCGGGGATTGAGGAAGACCATCAACTCGTTCGAAGCACCACGCATGCCGAATACACAAAGATATCAGATAATGCAATTTCACCCGGATACCCAAAAATCAGACTGGATCATCTGGATTGGTGGCGAGCATTGCAAGAAGGTTGGGGATAGGGAATGCCACACCATCGCCTCAGTGTCACAGAACAATGGAATGGATTGGAAGAACCTCCTATCATACGTCAAGAAATGTGCATTTGTCTGGCGCGAGGAAGGCCACGTTGAGAGCGAGAAATTGGTGTTCTGCGAGCAATACACAGACGAAGAGATGGGTGCTCCTCTTCAACTAATCTCTAGCGAAGACTGGTTCGCAGAGAAAAATGTCAAGTTCAAGTCTGTCGTCGAGTTCGCCACGATGTCCGAATACATTATCGTTGCCACTAAAGGAGAGGACGGCAAATCCCTGAAACTGGATGCCAGTCTTGATGGAACGACCTTTGCTGACGCGCAATTTCCGCCGAAGCTCCAGGTCGACCACCAAACCGCGTATACGGTTCTGGATAGCTCTACGCATTCCGTTTTCCTCCACGTCACTGTAAATCCAAGAGAAGATCAGGAGTATGGGGCCCTTATCAAGAGCAACAGTAACGGCACATCCTATGTCATGACCCATAAGCACGTGAATAGGAATACAGCGGGCTATGTTGATTTTGAAAAGATGCAAGGCATTGAGGGGGTGGCTGTCATCAACACCGTAGCAAACGCAGACAAAGTCGATGGAGGCGCCAAAAAAGAGAAGAAGACCCTCATTACTCATAATGACGGTGCTGATTGGGAGGAGCTACAAGCACCAGCGACCGACTCCGAAAACAAAAAGTATGGCTGTGACACTAGGGAGAAGAAGAAGTGCTCCCTGCATCTTCATGGGTATACCGAGCGGGGTGACCCTAGAGAGACGTACTCTTCTCCTACTGCCGTTGGCGTGATGCTTGGTGTTGGTAACGTCGGTGAATCTCTCACGACTTTCGGTGAGGCCTCTACCTTCATTACTACAGATGCTGGAATCACCTGGAGAGAAGTAAAGAAGGGCAATTATGCCTGGGAATTCGGCGATCAAGGCTCCGTCATCGTCCTTGTTCGAAGGGGCGAGGACACCAAAAATCTCTACTATACAACCACTGCAGGTGAGAAATGGGATATGTTCGAGTTTGCCGATCACGCCATCAGAGTGGACGCTATCACAACGGTACCTAGTGATACATCCCTCAATTTCTTACTCTGGGGCAAAGACGGCAAAGAACTTGTGACCATCAACGTTGACTTCTCCGGACTGGACGAGTTTCAAAAGAAATGCGAACTAGACGACAAGGATCCGCTCAAAGGTGATTATGACTTCTGGTCACCAGAACATCCACTATTGCCGGAAGGGCAGCAGCATTGTCTTTTCGGTCACGAGGCACAATATCATCGCAAGAAACGTGACGCAAAGTGCTACAACGGTCAGAAAATCAGCCATCTCCACAGCATTGCGCGCAACTGCACTTGCACCCGGCGAGACTTCGAATGGTAAGTCCAATCTAGATGCATTGGTTGTTTCAATCTAACAACCCATATAGTGACTACAACTACGAGCGTAAACCTGGTGGCGAGTGCGTTCTTGTCGAAGGTCTTACCCCTGCTGACCCCAAGGAGGTTTGCAAGAACAAGGACGTGCGGGAATACTGGGACATCACGGGATATCGCAAGATACCCATTTCGACTTGTGAGGGCGGGCAGGATATGTCGGAGACCGGTGGCGTACACCCGTGCCCTGGCTACGAGGAGGAATTCCAGAAGAAACATGGAATTTCTGGTTTTGGCATATTCATGGCCGTTCTGATCCCATTTGTTGCAGCTGGCGGCATCGGGTACTATGTCTGGCGAAACTGGGATGGTAAATTTGGGCGAATTAGGCTTGGAGACAGCAACAGTTTCTCGGGTGAGAGCCCCTGGATTAGTTGGCCTGTCGCAGCTATCAGTGGCGTTGTTGCAGTTATTGCAGCTGTACCGCTACTTGTTGGAAGCTTGTGGAAGATGGTCAGTGGCAGATTTGGTGGTGGGTACGGAGGCACAAGATACACGAGCCGGAGTTCATTCGCTCGGGATAGGGGAAGGTATGCGGTTGTTGATGAAGATGAAGGCGAACTGCTTGGTGATGAAAGCGATGAAGAGGTGTGATTTTTGGGCATGTGAGGAGCATATGGTTGAGGCACGAGACATGTTTATCTGTTGGCGAAGGGTGTATTATTAATTATAGCAGAGTCTTCTCACAACACGAGCCCATTAGATATGTTATGGAATAATAGACTGTACCATTCCTAGGGCATCATCTCATGCGACTCGGTTGTCGGGAATGCCAGCCCCTTCCAAAAGAGATTAATAATTCTGAGAGCAAGTAACATGTCACTCACTAATGTTACGGAGCGCTTCTTATATAGAAAGACACATTCGCCAAGCAGAAGGGGTTTTACTATATATGCAGCACAATTCTTGCAAATGGGGGTTGGCTAGCTCTGAAAGTACAACCTCTCGCCATTAGAATCTACTGCATGAGTGCAGTCCTTGGGGCTGCATTTCGCAGAAGTCAAATTTTAGACTTTCGGTGTGGGATTATCAGTAAGCCGAGTAACCAAACCTTCAAACACTTATAGAATATTAAATGTCGTAAAACAACAATGTCCTTAGCGATATTGGACAATGAGATCGCATGTGCATATGGGGCCATGAAGTACAAGCCTTACCGATCCGGCCTCTGCGTAATGATTCACTACTGTCGTCAAAAATGATGGAACGATGCATAGGGAAATGTCCAATAGGATATCCTCAAATGATGGTGAGTCTTGCACAGGGTAGATTTAGTTGCCGCCTGCGCAGTTGTACTTGTACTTGTGGTGACTTCGCCTTGTGGCACAGCTAGCAGCTACACAGTCAAACAGTACAGCCTTTGTACTCACTCTGATTTGGCTCCCTGGATCGTTGCGCGCACCGTCTCCCGTTCGCCGTGATGTCAATCAATGCCCATGTGACATATTTGCAACCAATGCCTTATCAGTAAAACGGACAGAAGGCGTGATAGGGGAGGGCTATAGCTGGATGTGAGCACAAAGTAATGAGAAGTTTGGTGCTGTTGCGACAAGTCGGGTTGTTAATTAATGGGGCGAAGTGACTCCTTTTTTTTTTGGGTGGTAGTTGGCACAGCTGTGAGACCCCGTTAATGAGGTCAGGTATGACTGGTGGTTGAGAGAGTATTCCAGGCACTCGTTGTCATAACGCACGAACGGAAGCGCGTTGAATGCACCAAACAAACACAGGTCCCAGAAACAATCAAAATAGTCTCATATTCTATTCCGCGTCTGCTGCGTGAAGGTACAACCATGACTCAGAAGCAATTGACACAGACACATCTTGAAAGGTCCTCCTTCATATGGCTGTGTGTAACGCAGCATGCCCAGATAGTTTAGTTTTGGAATGCATCGTACAATGATCGTAGTACGCAGTGAAACCAAACATATGGAACAGCAAATGAGAATGGTACCGCCAGGGCCAAAGTTTCGGGAACCATGGTATCAGCCTTCGCGTTAAGGTTGCGACAGGCGCCACAGTTTGCCACGACTGGGCATGGCGCTGGGTGCATGAACTTTACCACTGCAATGGCGATGGTCCCGGCTTTGGAGGTATTATAGTAATTACTCCGTATGTGCGTTTTATATATACACCGTAAGAGCGCTCAGCGCTGGAGGCTTCGCTACTAGTGCATACGGCGGGACATTGCCTCGTCAATGCAGTCAGCAGATTCAAAGCGACGAAACTCCGTACGAGTGCTCATATTGCGAAAACGGGAGGCTGTGTCCAGGTCCAGACTACCAAAGCGGAGAAAAGTAGAAAGACTGCTTGCCAGGTACAAATCTTTGATAAGGTGTACAGAGGGGTGTACAAAGAAGACCGTCTAGCAGGTCTATTGGTCCGGACAGAAAGTGCAAGAATCATAGAGCCAGCAGTCTCGGTGATGCATTCGATGCAGGGAGAATGATTTGCCATGCTACTGAGATGGAAACAGCAGAGGTTCAGAGCGACTATACTTGGTACCTTGTAGCAACTTGCAGTTACATACTGTCGCGTATGGATGCCATCTAAAGGTAATACGTATGTATATACAAAGCGGTGCCCAGTCACGCCAGTATTGTGCATGAGATGTCTTATCCCCTTAGTGCGAGACTAAATGCGGAGGAGTGATATTACTATACTTACAAGGGGGACGGGGCAACGAGTCGATTGCGGCTTTGTTTGTTGAAAATAGTCGGTCAGCGTGTCATGTTACATGTACTGCGTACATGAGGCGAGGTCGCGAGGGTCTCTCATCAGGTGTGTACAGTGCGATAGTTATGGGTGGACGGGGTATACCGCATAAGTTTGACTACCACTATGTACGGTACTACCTGCAGGCTACGAATCACCTACAAATAATAATACTGGTAACTGTACTCCGTACCTACCTAGGTACAACAATGGATACAAAGGGGGACAAAAGAAGGCGAGGTTGAGGACAAGGGGATTGAAGGGGAACAAGTGGATGACAGAAAGAGGGGGGAAATAGCCCTGTTAGGGGTGAGTCGTGATTGCGACTGATGGGGGTCCAATTGGGTCTATGGGTCCATTGGGTCCATGGGATATGCCGATGTGGTGGTGCTGTTTCAGAGTGATCTGTCCAATCAGAGTGGTCCATCTCAGCCTTGGCGCCCCGGTTTAGCACCCTCGAAACCTCACCAGGCTCACCTCACCTCCTCTCCCGTAACTCTGACAATATTCCTGCACCTCCTGACGAGTCCTGTTATAGTTATACCTGTAACAACAAACTTTCTTCGCACGTCTCACTCTCGCCTCTCGCCTCTCGCCTCTCGCCTCTCGTCTCTCAGTACACTTGTACACATCTCGACACTCTAAACTCCGTGCTCACTAAGGCCGCTACCTGTTCACGTAGACCAACCATATCTTCAATTTGCAGACAGCCTTAAACGGCGTCATGCGGGGACGCAGCCTTCCAACCGCCGACCCTTTTTATATCTGTCAATTATGTATCTTGTCACAGCTAATCAGGCATGCAAATGACTTTTTCCCCCCCCTTGCCCTACCCCCAGTCATGCGCCACTGGTGCGGTTCCTACTCGCCCGCTAAACATGGAGCTTAATGGAGGCACCACTTGACGTGCAGCACTTGTACCTGAGCACCATCATAGCCTATTGAATTACAGAGACGTACTGTATTTGCGGCTCGCTAGAATGACTACCCTTTCCCACCCGCTTTAATCACAAGCTAACACAAACGAACAAGCTAATTGAGCCCCATGACATCCCTGCCTCCAGTATGAAGCAGGCCAGTATGCTCGGCGGACGGACATGCCTGATGAATTGGGCATGGTGACTTGCGGGAGGATGCCGACCGCCAAGCTGTTTCAAATGCACACGCTTCTTTTGCTAAGCTTGGTCTCTCTGTCGTGTACCTATGTGTGTGTGTGTGGTTGTGCGTGCGCGCGTGTGTTTTGACTTCGTGCATTATGCTCTTGGTTCAATAAGAGTACATGAGCCACTCTCTTCCTCATGCATCTCGCTGGCCATCGACCTTCTTTCTCTGCACCCTTTTCACCCTTGTTCGTCTTATTCTTCTTTCATTCTTCTTTCCCATCAGATTCGTTCATCTAGAGCGCCACTTCCCAACGGACTCTTGCGTCTCTCGTTCTTCAACTTCACTCCCTTCCATAATCCTCTTTCGTTCAACCCCAGCCGGCCCAACCTCTCTACGAGATTGTAGCGTGCTGGCACGTCTTGGCCTTACGCACATTCACTCCACATTCTGATACACCTACCCGCCTCACATTCATTGTTTGCGCGTTGATGTAAGTTTTGCCATGCCTGCTCGTCCTCAGAGTCTCGCCCACTCTTCCTGAGCGTTTGCACTCCAAAGTACAGTTCCACCACGCACCCTTTTCCAAGCACATGCGTTGTTCACGACATGTCTCATCTTGTAGCACCTACCCGGCATGTTTCTTGTTATCTCAATTCAAATGCAATTGGTAGCCCGAATCATGTAAAATTCTCTAATATTTAAACTCCCTCTTCGATGACACGGATCTTTGTTAACCCCCGACAGCGCTTTTTACATACGTTCTCTCTCACTATACATTCTTTACGAAAATAGCACCAACCTCTCCTCAAAATCTATCAACTATGAAGCTCTCCACCAGCCTTTTCGCCTTTCTCGCTTCCATCACTGTGGTCTCTGCCGCCCAAAATGAAGGCTATATATCAAAAGAAACCAAATCCAACGCTCAGCAGTTACCCCCTTCAAGGGACTTCATTGCAATGTACAACGTCACTTCCAGAGATGCCGCTGAGCTGCGAATCAAAGAAGTCATCGAGAAGCTCGAGGCTAAGCTGCCCAAACACAAGCGAGGTTTGACCAACATTCGAACTTTCAGCAACAATCGCACAGCTGGTGCTGTTGTCAGTAATCATGGTCACGAGGGCTGTATGGGGGCGGTTGCAGACATTGCAGAAGTGGCCATGGTTGAGGAAGCAGTTGACATTCAGTCTTTCGTCACGCAGAAAATCAACACCACTTGGGGTCTACAGCGCATCTCCAACAGTGCCGGCGCATCCGGTAACCCCGTGGCTCGTGACTACACTTACTCGTTCGAGGACGAACAACTTGGAGCTGGTGTTGATATTTATGTCGTGGACACCGGTGTCCGCAAATCACACGCTGTTTTCACGGGACGTGCACAGGAGGATGAATTTTCTTTTAACGTCACGGCCGCAGACGGCGATGGACACGGTACTCATTGTGCAGGCACAGCTGCAGGTGCTAGATTTGGCGTTGCCCAGGGCGCCAATGTCTTCGCAGTGAAAGTCCTAGGAGATGATGGATCCGGTTCTTCTTCCGATACTATTCTTGGTATTGATTGGGTCATCAACAACCACGAGAAGCGCAAGCAAGAGCTTGGAGATAAGTTTGTTGGCTCAATTATGAGCATGTCCTGGGGACTTCAAGGCACCGCTGAAGCCGTGGATAGGATTATCCTTGGTGCTTCCGAGGCTGGAATTCATATTTCGGTCGCTGCTGGCAATGATGGTACCGATGCATGCCTGTCAACACCCTCTCATAACGGCGGCGCCAATTCCAACGTCGTGACGGTGGGCTCAGTCAACATTCAGAATCAAGTTTCCGGGTTTTCTAACATTGGTCCCTGTGTGGACATTTACGCCCCTGGAGAGGATATCGTCTCGTCCTGGAATACTGGAGACAACATCATCAACACCCTCTCGGGAACTTCCATGGCCTGCCCTCACACTACGGGTGTCATGGCCTACCTCATGGCCCAAGACAAGAGCCTTGGCCAAAATCCCGCCGCGCTAAAGGCAAAACTGCTCGAGACAGCACGGAAGAACGCTTTCGTGGGCAACACCGCTGGCAGTGCAAATCTTCTCTTGAGCAATGGTGTCGACGGTGGCGTCACTGCTCGTCGCTTGATGAAGAATTACGTTGTTCCTAAACGTGACGGCAAGAGGAGCGCCGGTGGAAGCTTCGCGAGCTGGGCCTCCAACGTCGTCAGGAGGGTCGATGAGAAATGGGAGCTTCATTCCGCGGTCACACAATTGCGCTTTTAGATGCAGGTGAAATGACACAAGATTTTCATGGTTTTAGGGCCCCTGTGCGTTTTCGCCATCCATATCTCTACACTTAATAGGCCAACTAGAAGCCGCAAAAATTAGCATTTAACCTTACATTCACAATTACATATTACCAACATAAATATGGCTAGAACATTCAATGCATCAATTGCCATTTCGTGCCTTATTCTCGAAAGCCTCTGATTCAATTGAACTTCATCGGTGTTTCACTTTAGTTAGAGAGATCATGTTTCAGCGTACTGCGTACGTATCGCACACTGGCTTAGTAATTGAAGTGCAAGGAGTAACACTTAGGTAGACCTGCGCAATCAATGCCTACTTCATGGAGAACTCATTCTGAAGATGTAGCCCTGTCTGCGTGCAGGGTTGCGTGGAACTATAACCCTTAAACCACCACATCGGACATCCAGACGAATTGCCCGGTGCATTTTGCTTTGTAGGTTGAACTCCATCCGTCAGGCCTGTTAGGTGACATGCCTTTGTTGTTCGTGGACTAACCACATGGTTTACACGTAATTCTCAAAGAGGACCTTGCTAAAGTGCAATTATAATTGACAATCCCATTCCTGACCTTTTAGATAACAAGAGTGAAGCCGAACTCTAGCGTATGGCCTTTTGGATAGGTTTGTCTCCAAATTCGACGATCTACTAAGATATAATAATAGTACGGGCATGCTCATGAAATTTCGTGATGAATTTGAGGTATAACTATAGCCGCGCCTGATCTCTGGTATCTTCATTTGAGAGAACGTAGCGGTATCTCGCTTTACCATCTTCCATGTCGACCACACTCTGATTTGCTTCACTCATACTCCTCTGCTGTACCCAAGGCTTGATGCGTGAGTCGGCAGCAAACTGTAGCATTTCCTCGATTTGTTTGGGGCTGCCGATTTGACTACCACCAATCTTGCAACCTTTCCCAATGAGCGCGAATGCTGCTATAGCTGGTAATTTATCTTCAGGTGCACCGACTTGGATGAACTGACCGTTCGTTCGTAGAAGCCTCATGTAGCCCGATAGAGGCATATCCGGACTCGAGACCGTAGAGATGATGAGGTCCAGGCTCTTACTGTGAGTTCTCTCCCACTTCTCATCCTCGTTGGTCGCAATAAAGTCATCCGCCCCCAACTCGCTTGCATCCTTCGCCTTGTTTCTGCTCCTACTGATGACTACAACCTTGTCGCACCGGAGGGCCTTCGCAAAGAGGACACCGAAGTGGCCAAGTCCTCCCAAGCCCACGATGCCGACCTTCTTTCCGGGGCCTGCACCATTGTCTTTGAGTGGCGCATAAACAGTGATGCCACCACACATCATAGGGGCAGCGTCGACACTTTTAAGCTGCTCGGGGATCTTGACAGCGAAATGCGCCGGGACACGCACGAAATCTGCGTATCCACCATAGCTCCAAGATCCGTCGGGATACTTGCCATTGTAGGTGCCCACGAATCCCTTGCCGCAGTGTTGCTCCCTGCCAGAAGAGCACTCTTCACAATCGACTCGGAGGCATGAAGACACTTGCGCACCGACGCCGACACGATCACCGACACGAAAGCGAGAGGTCGAGGTAGGAGAGTCTCCAAGACGGACGATATGCCCGACGATTTCGTGACCTACGCAGACTGGATAGTGTGTGGGACCCCATCCGGATCGTAAGGTGTGTATATCAGAGCCACATATACCACAATGCGTAATTTTGATATCGATGTCGGTAGACTGGAATGGCCTAGGCGTGAAAGACTCCCATTTGAGGTTCCCTGTTGCAGCGGACGGGTCATGGGCAAGCCAGCCATGAAACTTTTGCGGCGACGTCATCATCTGCGCTGGGAGAGACCAGAAGCAATTGGTAGTCCGGTGGTGGTCCTGCTTGAGCAGCGATTACTCTTGTGACAGCAGAAGGCCGGAACAAGAAAAGTTAGATATATCGTGCAATTGGTTGGTTTTCAAGGCTTTTCTGAAGCGACTCACTGCATGAGTAAAGACGGATAGTTAAAAGTCAACGAATTCATGGCAGTACGAACGGAAGGTCAAACTACTTAGCGTGTCGAACTCCCCGAATGCGCAACACCCGAGGTCCATCGCAAGGCCGACATGGCTTTAGCGATGCAGCCCCACCGAACGCGACAAGAAGCCAAAGCCAGGGGGAATGCTCGTAGGGTTATTTGACTGACTACAGAGATATTACAGAGGGCAGAATAACAAATCATTAGAAACATTTCTAAATAGTCCTAGCCACCTACTATTGTTACGATCACCACCTAAATACCTCTGTATGTAGTAAATATATTATACTATTTAAAATTTAGAAATGTTGTAAAGACTTAAGAAATGTTTTCAATATTTTGGTATTCTGGCCTTTGTGATATCTCTGTAGTCAGTCAAATAATCCTACGAGCATTCCCAGGACTGGCTAAGAGCCAGGTACTAGTCTCGACCTACTCCATCCAACAATCTACATCCATACCGAAGTTGTCGTGCTTTGATACGCCCGTACTGATAAGTGGCTATTATGACTGCCAAAGAGAGTACCTCGATATCCGGGCCCTTTCTACCTCCCTCCTCCTTGAATAGTAAATGACCTAGGTAGGCGTGTCAGGTAATACGGCACAAATCCAATACGATGGAAGGGTTGAGTCTTCCAGGGGTGAATGCACGTGATGGGTGGGCGAGAACGCAAGGCTGGTAGAAATTCATAGACATTAGAGCGCGATACAAAAGTTTCTATGACCTAAGGTGATTGCAACTGAATTGATCAATGCAGCAGCATAGGTCACACTAACAGTAACTGTCCCAAGGTCGAAGTTGTTCCTACGGGGTAGGCATGTAAGTACATAGGTACCTAGAATCTTAGATAATAGCTTTGGTGCATTCCCCAAGCGGCACCTTGAGCAACTGCAAGAGGATTACTATGTTGTATACCCGTCCGACTCAGCCTTTGGTCAATATTGAGGACTCCGGCATGTGGCATCGAACTATTGCCTGCTTGGGTGTACCGTCATAAGCTCATTTTCAGTCCTTCGTCACCCCCTTGGTGAAGAACGGACTCTGTTGAACCTTTGCCCAATCATGGAGCAGTCTTGTGTTAGCAGTACCATCTCTTACCTCCTTCCCACCTCGCTCAATCATCTCGTTCTCAAAAGAAGCTATGGTTTCATTGCGATTTGCTCCTTGATGGATCTCCACGATACTTTCTGTCAATTTTCCAGCGTCGGTAATTGAATGATTAAGACCTTGACCTCTCTGGTATGTCATAGGATGCACTGCATCGCCCACCATAGTGACGAGTCCGCTGTGATTGTCCCAGCGATAGCCTTGGCGGCCGGGGTCCCAATCAGTCAGCCCCAAGTACCAGACAGGAGCATTGTCTGGCGTCCATTCGTATGCACTCTTCCAGGGGTCGCAGAATTTCCTCGCGAACTGTTTCTGCTGAGCAAGACGTTGAGCATCCGTCCAGCCTGCAGTGGCATCCTGCTCTTCCACACTGCTCTGCCATGAGATGTAGAAAAAGAAAGTCCATGATGTTGGGTCATCCGCATCGGCGGCGTCCTGCATGCCGAAGAAGGCGAAGTGCTTGTCAGGATGGGCCGATGCGAGAAACAAGGGATGGAAGCTGCGAAGATAGAGCGCCTGTTCTCGGGTGAACCTTCGCTGCACGAATGTTGCAGCGTACGGTATTCGATTGATAGCGCCCTTGGTGGGGCCCAAGAGCAATTGGCGTACGGTTGAGCGTGCGCCATCTGCCCCAACGAGCATACAGCCAGTGGCTGAAGTCCCATCATTGAAATGGGCAGTCACGGACTGGCCATCGTGGGCATACGTGACGTTGCAGAGGGTTTTACTGTGCCGGATCTCCAACCCTGGGGCCAGAAGCGATCTAAGCTTACTTCTTCTCAGGCGATAGAATGGACCGAACGTGAATGCGACCATCTCTTCACCTGTGGCTCCATTGATGAAAGCCAACGTATCCTCGTTCTTTGTGGGGTTATGGGGGTCAACCTGTACGGATTGGATTCGTGCCCAGCGGTCTTCCGGTATCAGACTTTTGAGAATGGGTGCGCCCCAATGTAGGCCCATGTTCCAATCTCTACTGCGCTCCAGTGCAGAGTCTTTCTCGAATATAATGCATGAAATGCCGGCCTAGGGAAGGGTCTCAGTGAACATGCCCACGAAACGCATTCTGGGCCTCGCACCCCCCGCTCCCCGCGCCAATGATGACTTGAGTAAAGCCAGAAGCAGGACGCATCGTCTGGAGATACAGCAATAGGATTGCGGCTGCGGATGCTGCAGCCATGACAATGAGATGCATAGGGAGGGGCGGGGGTCGAAAGTTGATGGGGTGACGAGCGACGCCAAACATGGCCGCCGGTTGGATACATACCTTCCCAAGACCCTGCCCAAGGGCGAGGCCGGTACTGCCTATACATTGGTGAGAATCCAAATGAAGATGCTTATGGGAGATGCCTCACATACCGGAGCCGATGATGAGTATAGGCAGCCCGTGGGCATGTGGACTGAGGGGGGGTGTGGGGGCTGACTGTCGATCACTCATGGCCGCGCTTGTAGAAGACAGAGACTACCAAGTAGCACTTGAATAGGCACCGGGGTTTTCTGCGAGAGGAAGAAGGAGACTGATTAAGACAGGTAGCGGATCGGGGGTTTGAAAGTCGCACGAAAGTCGGTGGGCGATATTCCGAACACAATGAAAGGAATGACTACACAGAAGACACGTAAAATACCTCAAGAATACACCACATGCCTCCACGGATGTGGAATCGAGCGTGAGTAGTGTCAGGTGAAGTGAAATGCAGTAGAATGCAGTGCAGTAAAGTAGACTAGAGTAGGGTAGACTTGGAGTAGACTTGGAACTCAGGAGTGAGGTGAATAATGGGTTGGGAGCAGAGGGGATACTACATACTAAGGGTGTTAGTTCATTAGGTACCTAGGAGGAGTAACTACGGAGTACGGAGTACATACCGCACATATCTTAGGTACCGAACCTAGCACCTAGGTAAACACCCAGTGAACCTAAGGGTGTTAACGAGAGGTGCGCGCCTCGCCTCGCCTCCCCTTGCCATACTGTGCAGTCTCATACAAGTAGTGTCCAGGTTGGTAGGTATCTATGTAGGTCTCTAGTTAGAGGTTCCCAGTTACTGTACAATCGTTATTACAGTATATCATGCAGGACTACAGGATGTGTTTGTATGTTACCAAAGTATTCCGTACACGCAAGTGAGTGACACCACGCACGCCATGCACGCGTCACCTTTCTGTACACATACAAATATGACAAAACATCTAGTCAGGTGTTGGACGGAGTATGGATTGTCCAGGTAGTAATTAGTACGTAGATATAGTTAGCAATATGTAAATCGCAGTAGTAGAAAATTCTCGTAATAGAGACGTCGGAGCAGCTGTTCGTTTAGTGGGCGGAACAACAAGCATACATCATGTATCTAATACAACCAACAAATGTACAGAAGTAAAAGATAACTAACTAGAATTCCTTTATAATCCTCCTCTACGCAGAAATATCTTGCAGCATAAGTGCTCGTAATTACTTTATTCATGAAATGGAACCTCTTATTTCGTAGATATCTCAAACTATCAAAAGTACTCCACACTCGATTTAAAGTATATTATGTACCTACCTACCTACCTAATGCAACTATTACTTCGTACCTGATTAGTGACTGAATATAATCATTACGAGCAGTGCTAGTTGCGAATAATAATGGCCCCAGGGGTTATAAACACTTTTCAAGCTATCTCCTACCTATACCTTTACGGTATACCTATATCTTAGATACACAATACACTTAGACGCATGTACATACCTACTCATAACTTTGCACAAGTATCAGCATCATCATTATTGTCAATATCTATCTTCTACATTAGCACCTTAAATAGGTACCTACGAGGTAGGTACTAGGGTTGGGTGCCAGGCAGTTAGGTAGATATCTACCAAAACCAGCCACCAACACCACCACAACCTTTGAACATCTCCACCCTCCCTCCCCCCCCTTCTCCGCCCTCTCCCGTCCACCTCCTCGCCTGTTTTTCCCTCCTCCTCGCCCTCTCTCGCCCTCCTCTTCGCATCCATAAACGCACACAGAGTCGTCTTGTAGTGCCATGTCGCCTTTTCCCGATTCCTGAACTGCTATCACGCGCACACCCGCCTACTCAACCTGCCTTTATACCTCGTCACGCCTAGCCTCGCCTCGTCGCATCTCACAACTCATCCTGCCCCTCATCGACATCTCCACAACTACACCATGTCCGATCCGGACTCCTCCAATAAACCCTCTGACTCCTCCAGTCTGCACTCCATCGGCCAGGACAGCGCCGTCCAATTCGCCGAAAACACAGACCGTACTAGAGATACAATCATCCCTGCCTACCATCTTCTTCCTGCTTATCCGCCAACTGTCCCCGAGCCTTCCCATCGGCACGACCGAGCCGATCAATCGCTACAGGAACAGCACCCCCACGAACAAGCAGTCAATAACGAACCCCAAGATGATCCCGCCCAAGAACCTCTCGACTATGTGTCCGATTCCGGCTTCGACAGCGGGAGCCTCCTTGAAGACGAAACAGACACGTTGGCTTCATCAATCATGAACTATCGAATGGAGAATGGGCGTCAATATCATGCATATAGGGATGGCGCCTACTGGGTACGTTGTCTGCGTGCCGATTTCAACCCTACATGTCTATCCATGCCTTCTCCTGACGGCGTCGCAGGGCCCAAACGACGAATTAGCGAAAGAAATTCTCGACTTTGCCCATCACATGTATCTCCTAACACTCGATAACAAACTTCATCTAGCTCCTGTAGAGAACCCCCAGGTAAGCCACACTTCTACCTAGCTCGCGGAAGTCATTTTGTGTTGAGATGCATAGGCTATTTTGGATGTTGGTACAGGCACAGGCATATGGGCTATAGATGTGAGTAAATCTGTCGAGTGCTCCAGGCAACGCTGTACCGTTTGGCTGATATCAAATTGCAGATGGCCGATCTATATCCCAGCGCTATTGTCACTGGCACGGATCTATCTCCAATCCAACCCGAATGGGGTGAGTTTTTAAACCTCGGCCCCGACACCAGTTTATTATTCTCATTTGGATACTAATGTTCCAAGTACCACCCAACTGCCATTTCGAAGTGGATGATGTCACTCTGGAGTGGACTTTCCCGCCAGATCACTTCGACTTTGTTCACATACGCGAGCTCTTTGGTTGTGTACCGGACTGGGATTTCTTTTTCCAGCAAGCATACGAACATACGAAGCCAGGCGGTTGGTTAGAAATCGTCGAGCATTCCGTGCAACCTACTGCAGATGACGATACGATGGGCCCTGACCACTTTTACCACACCTGGGGCGCCACTGTCGTAGAAATGGGCAAAATCTTTGGCAAGAGCTTCACCATTTGGGGTGAAAGCAAGGAGAGGATGGAACGCGCCGGATTTGTAGATGTCGTCGAGGTTCCTTACCAATGGCCTATGAATGGATGGTCTCAGGACCGGAAGTTGAAAAATATAGGCCGCTGGAATCAGCTCCGTTTGCACGAGGGCATTGAAGGATTCATGCTTCGATTATTGACCCAGGTCGGTGGGGTAAGATGACCGCTTTGCAGGACCCTCGTCTCAAAGTATGTACACTACTGACAGCTAAAGTGGTCGGTTGCTCGCGCTCAAGTTTTCCTCGCACAAATGCGAAAGGAACTGAAGAATTACAAAACGCACGCATATCTTCCTGGGTTCGTACCGCCATCCTCGTTTTTTAGTGTGTACTGACCATACGTAGCACCGTTGTCTATGGCAGGAAGCCGCTTCGCTTATGATCTACGAAGAGCGTGTTCTTTTCTATGGACTGACCCTGTAGCATTACCTCTATTACTTATTATTTGACAGGGCCGTTACTAGCGGCCCCCTTTTGTGGAGGAGATGATACCCAGAGAGTACTTTTGATCTACCAAACGAATTGTTTCATAAATTCCTCGAAGTTGATGTCATATCGTGCACGTTATGATTCTGAATCGTGACTTGGACGGACTAGGCCATGCAATAGGGGGCTTGCGTCTACATTCATGCTTTTCTACAGCCCATTATGTACGTACAGAACTAACAACTTTCACGGATCGGTGGTAGTAGATGGACTATCCCCAGCAACGAGCACATGGGAATGGTTCATCTCCTGCAGTATGCGCCAATGATCATGTTCTTGCCACCTTGGCATGCGCACAACCGACCATAAGACTCCACAATTTGGAGATGCCTGCAGCAAAGGCGGAATTCTTCTTGAAGGGAATGGCTGCGGAATAGACTGGCGATTCACGCCGTGGATTTTCACGCACACTACTACAACAATTGTATGCATATGGAGAAGAGAAAGTTCAGACTCATGATCTAGGGAGGCTGTAACGATCGACTACGAGAATTTCCAAATCCATATTATCAGCGATAGACAAGCAGAACAACTACTGTATGAGAGATAGCCTCAGGTCGATGCCATCCGATACATAAGTAAAATGTATGCCCATGAGCCGAAGTTGTTCTGCATGGCTTCTCGGTGTTGCACCCAGCCTGATTCCTGCCTGTTAACGTCATGTTATCTGCATGATACGCAGCACTTGAATATGCAAGATCGGGGAATCGATTGAAGTAGCTAGCTGAAGGAGTCAATTTGGATATCGTAAGCGCTATGGTGAGGTAAATGCTTGCACGGGTGATTCAGTAGAATTCCTTCCAATCTCCCCAGATGATTTCTGTTCCGTACTTATTCATGAGCTGTCCCGTAGGGTCTTCGCCTTCGACATGAGCCCATGCTCCGGCAAAATGGAGTACAAAGGTCCCGTGCTCCCAGACTCTATTTGACTCGTCGAAGCAGGCTATTTCCGGTGGAAAGGCATTCAACTTCCATTGTGGGACTTGTGTTGTCCGGTCTGCGGATGCTCGATCTTCTTTGATCAGCAGCGCCATGGCATCCTGCTCACTCAGTTCGTTCTTCTTCTCCTTCTCCCTGGCTTGTATGTCATGAACATCATCGAAAATTTTGAGAGAGCGTTCGTGTCCCCGGACAATGAATGAACCCGTGTTTAGACCGTTACTGTCTCGGGATTAGCATGTAACCTTTCCTACAGTATGCGAAATTTGTGGGGTCTTACGCACCAGTCATGTGTGACGAGGACATCAACCTCATCGGCACGGGTGGTTTCCTTGAGCGTCTCGTCTATAATGCTCTGCACATCAATATCTGTGTTTGTAATAAGCGTATCGAAGTCCATCCACCACAGCCAATCCCAATTGTTCTTCTTGATCAACCTCTGCATCATGTTGAATTTCCAATAGGTGGTGCCACGCTCCGAGTGGCTCTCATAATCGACGATCAGATCGTGTCCGTGGCGACGTGCATAATCTATCCAAAGATGTTGTGAGCCGAGAATGCGTGCTTAGAGACAGGTGACTTACGATCTTTGTTCTTGAGGGAAAGGTGTATGTATGACTTCTGGTCGGTGATGAAAGTCACAATAGCAATGCGCGCTTTCCTGGGCTCCTTCAGCTCCTCAGTGAGAGGTGGCGGCGGCGGCGGCGGCACGGGGACGGGCTGTTCCTTTTGCTCTTGCGGTCGTTCTGCTTCAGCAGGAGGATGTGATTCTCCAGGTCTTTGGCGGGGCATGGGATCGCCATAGGCTATCCCTGAGCTGAGATGCCATCCGAAAAGTGCGCAGAACGCGAGGAGGACAAGCACGGAAGGATAGAATCGGAACACCTTCACAAGCATCGCGTATGGGTAAACGTGGGAGGAACGTCAAGGAGGACAACCCATCGCCGACATCAAGGTGCGACGACAATATCGACAACGACGACGAGCAAGGGTGATGACTGGAATGCGCAGCAGCAGGGTGGAATGGGGAGAGTTTTGTCGATTGTCTTCCGACCCTGAGACGGCCTAGGTACGAGTACAAGTAATAACTTTCTTTGGGATGCCGGATGGTTCAATAGTTGGTAGTGACTCGCTTGTACATCACGCTATTACAAGTACAAGTACAAATGGGTACTGCTACTTGGATAGTACTCCGTGAAGACCCTCTTACTGTGTAGTCAATGTTGTACATACGAGTCATATGTCCTTGTAGGTACGTGAATCTATTCTCAGCTGCTGCGCTGCGGGAGCTAGTGAGCCGGATGCCGAATGCCGGATGGTGCTGGTATTACAGCTTCCTCCGTACACAGTACAAGTACCTACTGCATTACGTCCTTGTACGAACAGTACGGATGGAGTCCGAGCATATCCAGTAGAGACTTTCGACAGACATTTAAACTAGATACATACATAACTACAGAGGAGGTACCTCCCTAGATACATAGGTAAAGTCACGAGTAGAATGGAAAAAAAAAAGAAAATACAGGGATAGTTAAATACGTTGTGTACTATGTACTAACGAGCTGATGTAACGCATACTTTGCTCGTCCTACTTTACTTTACTTTACCATTTCGTACTTACAGTACGTACAGAGGGTAGGCACGTCGGGTCATACGCCTGCTAGTATCATGTATACTTTAACCTTAATCAGCTCCAAGTAGCAAATAAGAGGCTGTAAACGCACATATTATACCTTGTATCTGCTAAAAACACTAGCAGGCGTATAGCCCGACGTGCCTACCCTCTGCTACCAAGGTACGTACCTAAGGTATGTACATTCTCCTTATCGTTACCATAGCTTCTCTTAGCCCCACCACCACCACCATCCCAACGTCATCAACGCAGAAATCACGAGTTACAAGGCAACAAATACTTGTACGATTACACCTACACTTATGACCAAATTCGTCCCTTGTTTACCGACTCCACATCATCCCAACGTTTAATAATGCCTAAGAAACAATTCGCAAAGACGAAAGGCCAATTCGAAAACGGCGCTTGGCAATGTACATACGCCCATCTCATCTCATCTTATCTCATCTTCTTGCTCTCTTTAAAAAAAAGTCTTCCCTTGATAGTCAATAGTTCAGCCTACTGACTCAATTCTTCTTCTAGGCAATTGCATTCCACGTCTCCCCGCAGTTCGCTTCCAATCTAACAAAGGCAAGCCTGAGAACAAGGGCCGCTGGTGTAAGGCCTACAACACCTGCATTGACATACCCACAACTCTGACCGTTGCTCCAGTTTATACGTGTCAGAAGGGACCAAGTGACCAGACCAAATGCGACTTTTTCTTGTGGCAAGAAGATGCACAGCCTCGAGAGCTAGCTGCGCTACGAAACAACTCCCGTACAGAACCTGGCAGCACCGCCCACTCTCCAATCAAGAAGGAATCAAAAACAAGCCCACACCCTCCGTGTCCTGCTGATATCGACCAAAGTAGAAAACGACATAGGCAGAGTTTTGAGGAACCCAACAGTTATGGAGATGAGTTTGATTTTGACCGAGAAGACAACGCTGTCTACAACGACCTAGACCAAACACTGCTAGCCGCGGAAACACCTACAAAGGCCACAAGGACAACCCTTTTCACGACTCCACGACGGCGCCTCGACTTTGATCACACATCCACTTCACACATTATTTCAACTCCGCAAACAGGTCCTCGTATTTTCCGCGATCCATTCTCTACTCCTGGCTCCCGCTCTCCTGAGCTCGAGAGTGTTACCCAGGAGCCCACGCCCACCTCCTCATTTCGAGGGACGCCATCACGATCTCGCAACAAAGGTTCAAGCGGGTCAAAAGATCTTGCACAAAACGTCCTCGAATGGATTAAGATGGAAAATGTACATCTGAACAAAGATGCCGAAGCTAGCTTAATGAGAATACTCAATACACACGCAAAGATCGCTGAAGGCAACCGTAGAGGTCGTGACGTTTTGCGGCTGGAGCTCAAGGCAAAAGAAGCCAAGGTCGCAAGTCTTGAGAAGCATTTGGATACCTTAAAGGCAGAGCTTGAGGCAAATGAGGCCGCCAGGCGATTTCAGCAATGGCAAGATGAGCAAGGTACTGATTGACCGATTGACATCCAGAGTAGGATTCCATGGACATCTACGCATACCAAGGCGTTTCTTACGTGGCAATACCGCAGTTGACTTATGTAATGCTGTTATGGCATGTGGAAATTTTAATTTCTCTATTGCCTTGTATGATCCCATTGATACGCTTGAAATCACTCAGGTAGGGAGACTTGTGGCATCTGCCTTGCACTCTGCTAGGTGATTTTGCAATACCCACCGTAGACTGTGTTCATATCAAGTCCCTCCAGGCTCCAGGCCATGCTTCCGTCGAAACAGGGGGTTGATCATGACTTTTCATTAGATCTTAGTATAGTAATTCATGAACAGTGGAGGTGAAATGAGGCCTTGAAAGATAGATAACCACAAGACTATGACAAGTATGTATGCGACTGCTAAATCATGATAGATATTGCAACAACACATGCATGAGGCGAAGCCCAATAACACACGGTAAACCCTGTACTTCGTTTTATTCACCTTGTGCGAGATGTATCATTGAATAAATAGGTATCCTTGCAAACGAAACGGCTCTAGCGATTTGCGCTACTCGTGCAATCGACGCCAGCGCAACATATCGTTTATAGATAAAACCAACAGTTTAGCCTAGGTCCATACGTGTCCTACGTCTATAGTCGTAAGCAATCTCTACAGCTTCGCCTTAGACACATAATTTTACCCTCTGGGTAGTAAAGTTGCTACCCAATTTGCGTGATTGGCCATAGCCGAAGTTCCGTCGGATCTAATATATCAATTACCACTTATGTCCAAGCACATATATCCAGTCCCTGGGATTTAAAAGCCTTCATATTGCGATCATACCACAGTATTGCACGAGACCCCTGCGCTGATATGAGCCAGAAGTTGCCCGACGAATAAACATCATAAAGATGAAGATTCCCACGCATAGGTACTGATCAGATACTATCATATTCAAGTTGGTCTCTACTGATTCCAAGTGTTAGTACGGGTGGGGAATGCCCATGTATGCACCAACAAGTTTCAACACCTCCCAAGTTTGGTCGACTTATATTCCATAACCTCCCTCCTCACCATATCCGCTTCATTGGGCGACATTACTGGGATCTCGGGACCTTTGTTTTCACCTCTTAAGGCAAGTAGAACCCTACGAGACATCTTAGGCTACTGTTGGTGTCGGATCACCCGAGACCGCCGCCATTTACCTGCGTTGGTGTTGCTACCTTAAGCAGGCAGAAACACGACAAATTGTCATTCTTAGACCCTAAGCTATAAATCATCGACAATGTTACAGAGATCTGGACTCGACAAATATTGCGAGAAATGCAGCATGAATGTCAATGAAGTCACCATGGCAGCTGGACTTCCAGATTCGACAAAGAATAATGATGGTAATGGACATGGTTCTACGAAATCGAGCATAACATCCGCCCCTCTTCACGGAAGCTTCTTCGGCATTGACAGCAGTCGTAGCCAAATGCTTCAGAAAGCTACTTTTACCATCGAGGGGATGACCTGCAGCTCATGTGTTAGCTGCATCACTCATGCTGTTGGGAGTCTATCCTGGATCAAATCCGTGAACGTCAACCTTCTGACGAGCAGCGGGACGGTCGTGTTCGAAGACAAATCTCGACTTGATGAAATCATAGAAAAGATTGAAGACGCCGGTTTCGACGCTTACTTGGACACGATAACTGAATTACCAACTACAGCAGAAAAGACATCCGAAATGTGCGCTGTCGATGAATGGAGAGCAGTGTTCACGATGACATCCACGCCTGGCAGTGCAAGTGTGGCCGATCTGGGTCAGGCTCTCGATGAGAATAGCTGGATTAGAAGCGTTGACGTCGACGTATTGTCAAACACTGCCTATGTCGCTTTCACTGGTAGAGAGAATCTACGAAGGATCGAATATATTATCGAGCAAGCAGGCTATAATGCTACCATCGACACGGTCATACATGAAACAGTGACTCAGGGGCACCATGAGCGACTTCTAAGTGTTGCCGTTGCCGGAATGTCCTGTCATCACTGCCCAATACGCATCGTCAGAGCACTCACAACACAACACGAACATGGCTTCAAAGTGAAGGTTGTTCGAGATCCGCCATTTTCCAAAGAGCAACCTATTATAACGCTTCGATATAGACCAAGTCCACCTTTTTTCACTGCTCGGCATATTCTCACCAGGATCACGACCCTAGACCAAGCATTGCAACCAAGCATATATCATCATCCAACAATCGAGGAGAGGGCCCAGAAGATGCATAGTCGCGAACGAAAACGCATCTTGCTTAGACTGCTTCTCACAATCATAGTGGGGATTCCGTCTTTTACTCTGGGAATTGTATTCATGAGCTTAATCGACGCCCAACACCCCATTCGCAAATATTTTATGCAGCCTATGTGGATAGGAAATGCTTCCAGGCTCTCTTGGGCTCTGTTCTTCCTTGCGACTCCGGTTTATTTTTTCGCGGCGGATATTTTTCACCGGAAAGCACTAAAGGAAATATATACCTTATGGCGGGCCAGTAGCCGGACTCACATGTTACGCCGATTTTATAGGTTCGGCAGCATGAACATGCTGATATCGTTGGGAACTACGATAGCTTATTTCGCTTCTGTTGCCGAACTAGCATTGGCCGCTGCTAAAAAAACATCTGGGAGCATGTCTGACTCCTACTTCGACGCCGTCGTCTTTCTGACAATGTTTCTGTTGATAGGAAGATATCTCGAAGCGCATAGCAAGGCCAAGACCGGTGACGCAGTTATTTCGCTTGGGAGACTTCGGCCAACTGAGGCTGTTCTAGTTATTCCAGGTGGCAGCGATCAAACAATTGCAACAAATGTTCTTGAGACAGGTGACATTATTAGAGTCCCGCATGGAGCATCGCCACCATTTGACGGAATGATCATCCATGGAATGGCCGTCTTCGATGAGGCCAGTTTGACCGGCGAATCTCGCCTGGTCCCTAAAGAACCTGGCGACATGGTCTACTCTGGCACGATCAACAAAGGGCAATCTGTTGAGATCAGATTAACAACTATTTCGGGAACGTCCATGCTCGATCAAATTATCAATGCCGTTCGGGAAGGCCAGACTAAGCGTGCACCGGTCGAGAGGATAGCCGATGCGATAACAGGTCATTTTGTACCATTGGTAGTATTGGTAGCCATTGGAACGTGGGTAACTTGGGTTTCCCTCGGAACGAGCGGCATAATTCCTAGCGACTGGAAGAATAGCGGTTCAGAAAGCTGGGCTTTATGGTCTCTTCGTTTTGCCATAGCGGTATTCGTAATTGCCTGTCCATGCGGCATTGGACTGGCGGCCCCAACGGCCTTGTTTGTCGGAGGTGGACTCGCTGCAAATCATGGTATTCTCGTGAAAGGGGGCGGACAAGCTTTTCAAGAGGCTAGTAGATTGGATCACATCGTGTTTGACAAGACAGGTACACTTACCCTAGGTTGCGAGCATGCGGTAGCAGACTGCACCTTTATTGATACGAGAAATCGAGACCAGATCCTGGGCATGATCAGTGGGCTAGAACAGAACAGCAGCCACCCAATCGCCAGAGCAATTGTGTCGTATTGTGATTGCCATGAATCTCCTAAGCTGGACTTCCAGGATGTCGAAGAGATCCCTGGAAAGGGTCTGAAAGGAGCTCTCACGATCAACGAGGTCGAATGGGGAATCATTGTTGGGAGCGAAGCGCACATGTCTGATTACAACGTTGCTATACCCTCCACTGAATTGGATAGGCTCCAGTGGTGGAAACGCAGTGGCAAGTCAGTTGCTTTGGTTGCCATGCAATCTTTTGACACCATCGGCTCGGAAAATGAGAGGGAGACAGCAGCATGGAGCCTAATCGCCGCATTTGCCATTGCCGACGTCATTCGCCCCGAGGTTTGTGGAGTGATTCGGGACTTACAGACACGAGGTATCGATGTTTGGATGCTGTCAGGTGATAACGTTGTTACTGCATGTGCAGTGGGTATCCAGGTCGGCATCCCCCCCGATAACATCATTGCTGGTGTACTGCCTGATCAGAAAGCCGACAAGATCCGGCATCTCCAAAGAACACACCCTAGCACGAAAAGATCGAAATTGCTGAGAAATATATTCCGACTCAAAGTCAGTGGCAATAGTAAGAGGACTAAAAGAGCGATTGTAGCTATGGTTGGAGATGGCATCAACGATTCAGTTGCCTTGAGCGCGGCAGACGTTTCCATCGCAATCGGGTCTGGGTCCGACATCGCCATTTCATCCTCCTCTTTTGTTCTCATCAATTCGAATCTTGGTGCACTTCTTACTCTGCTCGACCTTTCTCGTGTTGTCCTTCGGCGCGTATATCTGAATTTTATGTGGGCCGGCATTTATAACATCATTGCAATGCCCGTTGCAGCTGGTGTTTTGTATCCAATTACCACAGGTACTACCCAGGGAATGAATATGCACCACAATGGTGTAGCAATGGAAGCCGGACTCGGTATGGGGGCTACAGGCGAAAAACATATACGACTAGATCCTGTATGGGCGGCTCTTGCGATGGCTCTGAGTAGTGTCAGTGTAGTATTGAGCAGCTTGGCCTTGCGCTCAAATATTCCTGGGTTAGGATTCAGAGCGAGAAAGGCAGGGGCGGCGTGAGATAGCTGGATCGGAAGTGCATGATTAGACTTCTAGCTGCCGCATAACGTGGTAACTGTTTTCTTAGATCAGACATTCAATGATGAGATACCTTCGGTGTTGTTCCATCCTGGAACACATATGTTACAGCATGCTGGACTTTCCAGTCAGTTACTATTGACTGATCGCCTAGCTGCATAATTTTTTTTGGTTATTGTACCAGATAAAGCAATTGCTTTAGAAAGAGCGCACCTGAATGTCCAGAGTTCGTCGTAGTATGTGACTCGACTACTATTTTATAGTTCCCAATTCTGGTACTTGGTAAAAGCTATATGAATAAAGCCAGGTCCTAGCGTCGCATGTCTTCTTCCCAAGTCTCGGAGATCAACATTGTAGATAATCCTAGAACATGGCTGGGACATAGGAATCTTTTCAACGTCACCGTCACGGTATTTTACTTCTGTACGGTAGCTAAGTCCTGATAGCTAAGTCCTAATGCCTAAGTCTCAATGGTTAAGTGAATCCTTTGGCGCGTGGAAAATAGGCGCGGGATAAGAAGATCATGTATTATTCTAAGGTCTCTCGCAGGCTCTGAGTTCACTCTAGAAAATTCAGCAAACTGCGTGAGTCCGTAGGATGAAAAACGCATTGGCTCACTTTCATTCCGAATACGTTGTAGAATAGTACCAGGGCAATTAGTCATGATTCTAAACTGTTCTTAGAGACACTTGATAGACAACTTTGAACAATGCGCAGCATCGGTTATCGCTATTGTCACCGTACTCTATAGTGCCCGATGTTTTTCCCATTTAGGCGGTAAGCACAGAGTGGTCAGAGTCTACTCAAAGATGACATTGGGTTTGCTTGAATATCAAATTCTGGACCAATACCCACAATGACTCCTTTCCACTGTAATTTCCTGTCCAGATCTCACTAGTGAAAGAAAAGTCATGTACCCGCCGCAGACTTTGGTTTTATCGTTTGGCAAAGAGAACCTCGCCATCACAATGAACGTGGCCGAGCTACTCTTTACATAGCCTGTACTTAATCGATTCTGCTAATCAACATTGGTGACCCGTTCCTCAATGCCAGGTGGTTCGGCATTACAATGCAGTTGTGGTGATGTTTGTTGTACCAGTGGCATACAGCTGTGAGCCCGGGCCCTTTGTTACATTCGCGTACCTTGCAAGACTGGTCGGGGCGGGTCGAGTGGACGGTGTAACATAACTCGTAGAGCGGTTGGTGTCACATTTCAGGGAGCCAACTTGCACAGGATTCGTTGCAATTAGTGCTGGGCTATCAAAGGTGAAGCGAGCGGATCCAACTTCCTCGCCCTTTTCATCTTTGAAGGCGATGCATGAGATGGTGTGGATGTTGGCTCCGGCGGCAGATATTATTTTCAGTCCACACAGAGATGGAAGATCTATGGGTGCATTGTCAATAGTTGCATTCAAATTTCGGCGGAGGGATAAGTTATCCGGAGAGTGAGGTTTACATACTTCGAACTTCGAGCTTGTCTGTTCTAACTATCAATGTTTCGAGACGAGTCTTCTGCTGAATGCAGGGCGTTTCTTCCAATGTGACGGTTGCGGAAATCGAGTCTGAGACGAAAGCTCCCAGAATTGCAATCGCCGTTATGTGGATCATTACGATTGTAATGGTAGGTATGAAGAACGTCAAAAAATAACAGATTAGCTAGACGGTGAGCGTTGGGGTACGAAGTGTGACCCAAAGTGATACCACAGAGCAGCTTGTCGAAGGGGTTGGTGTTAATCTAGTCGCCAACAAAAAGGCACTGTAACTATGGGACGGAGGTTTACGTCTGCCTACCCATATGTATGTTGCTCCTTGGTAGACGATGAATTAATATTCGCTACTGGAGAAATCTGGTAAATATTTGGTGGAGTTCGTCAGATGTCGTGGAACACGACTGTCGGGTTGCTGGAGGCGACGGCGACTGTGCATCATCAACAAGTCATGGCAAGTGCAAACTTCAGACGGTGAGTATGTGCTCCGTCTTGCGCAGTATTGTTATTGTTGTTGTTGTTGTTGTTGCTGTTGTTGCTATTATTATTGTAGATTAGCTCCACCGCAATGCAACATTCCAATGATTTACACTATACTATATACAATGAGACCCGCGATTGGGAGTGTTGAAGTGTACAGCTTTCACATTCCTCTTCGACATGGCATTCTGCATGGCTTAGAAAGGCGGGAACTTTCAGGTGTAGAGTTCTTCATCGTCCTGCGTAGCACTGCCAAAACCACCCTCCGCAATGTCGATGCTGCTCTTGCCCTTGTCATGGTTGACGCTTGCTTTACCCTTCCCCTTGCTTCCACTTCCACTTCCATTCTCATTGCCATTTAATTCGAGATGATCCGTGCGAATGACGTAGTCATCCCCATCACCAGCGCCATTCTCCTGCATGCCCACTTGCAAAGAGCTCTGTGTACGAGCCATCGTGGTAATGCCATTTTGATCTTCCTTCTTGCCCGCACCTTCAAACGTTCTTCGTACTCGCTCATAATGTGAAATCTCGTCCGCACTGACACTAGGAACAAGTTCTTTGTTGGCCTCCACGAAGTCTTCTTCAGTAACTAACACTCCCGTATCCTCCTCTGTCGCCAGATGATCAAAGAAATATGCCGTTGAGATCTGCTGGGCATTGGTAGCATTGTACGCCTTCACCTTTTGGTCGACTGCTCGTGCCTGTCGCGTTATAGCTTTCAACATGGCGTCAGAGCAGAGTGCATACATGTCTGCACCAGTGTAAGTAAAAGGAAGGTTCGATGCCACACGCTTCAGTGACAGCTGGGGATGCATCGTGAATCTAGTTCATGGTCAGCTTCTGCCTAGTGCGCAAAGGGGTATGCGAGACTCACTTTCTCGTCAGGGCTTCAAGGATAGTCTGCTGCTTGTCGTGCGTATCCGAAACTCCCAAATAGAGCATTTTGTCAAATCTGCCGGGCCGCAGCAAGGCTTGATCCAACAGATCTGGTCGATTGGTTGCTCCAATGACAAACACACCACCGCCCCCTTCTCCACCATCACTCATGCCGTCGAGTTCGGCTAGGAGCTGACTCACAATTCGGTCCATAACACCTCCGCTGTCGCCTTGATTTCCACGCTTGGGTGCCACGGAATCCAATTCATCAAAAAACACGGCACATGGGCGGGCATCTCTCGCGCGTTGGAACACGCGACGAACGTTGGCCTCGGATTCACCGATATACATGTTAAGCAATTCTGGACCCTTGACACTGAAGAAGTTGAGCGAAAATTCGGTGGCGATGGCTTTCGCGAGCAGTGTCTTTCCGGTACCAGGTGGGCCATAGAACAGAATGCCGCTGCGCTTTTTCATCCCCTTTGCAAATAGCTCCGGACGCGCCAGCGGTAACTGTATGGTTTCCATTACAGCATCCTTTACATGCGTGAGCCCACCAACATCTGACCAACTGACGTTGGGGATCTTTGGTGCTCCTATAGAATCGGCGAAATTCTTTCGAGCGGCCTCTACGGCTGCATCGAAGTCCGGTTTGGTGAGACTGTTGGTGAACGAGCCTCCTGCGAGCTCAATGTCTTTGGTGGTCACTGGTTCTGCGGAACTCAACGTCTGAGTTGCTAACGTCGCGAGTGCTTCAAGACGGGTTGACTTTGCCACCACGGCCCGGTCGACCACATCTACAAGGTCTCCTGCCACCAGAGCCGCAGTCTTGACGGCGACATTGGCAAGGTCGACCTCGGGAGATAGTCGCAATCCCGCATCATCAACAATGCTTCGCAGAATGCCTTCGCGTTCGCCTTCGTCGGGAGCATTCATCTCGATCTCATGTGTGAAGATTCCCCTTACTCCTTCAGAGACCTTATCCACTTCGGTAGTCGTCGCGATTAGGACTCTGGAGTCGGCTAGAATATCTTTCAAAGCTGCATTCATGCGATCTGCATCGAGAGCATCGATATGTTTGATCAATAAAGCTGTAAATTCTGCACCACATGAAAGTGCACGCTCGGCCCGAGCTTTCAAAAAGCCTTCAGTTTTCACATCACCACCTCCAGAACCTCCCTCAGTGAGGATGTCGAAGGCGTCAATCGGAAAGACGTGAAGCCCCAAATCTTCACAAGCCTTCTCCGCCACAGAGGACTTGCCGATACCGCGCTGTGTGGAAGTAATAAGAACGGCAATTGGCGGAAGTCTAAGGTGAATAGCCCGCGGGCTGGTGGCTACAGAAATGAGCTCTCGAAGCCTCCGACGCAGTGCAGATATGTATGGTCGTGGAGTCTCGTCCAGTATTGATGCCCTGGGGCTCAAAGCCACTGGGGGTCGTTTTGCTCCAAGATAGTATTGCCAAGTACTGCTCAATGATGCGGGAGTACGGCTTTGCTCACTTCCATTCATCTCCATCTTTGTGCTAGTAGCGTCTACGACCACGACACCACCCCACGGATCCAAGTCACGTATCTCACCAGAATCAACAACGGTCGATGCAACTGCATTGCCAATTTTGAACCATGACACTCTGTGGGCCTTTCTGAAACCCGACGCCAAGTGGTTGTCAATTTCACCATCAAGCTGATTTGGCTCTGCGAGCAGCTCATCGCCTCCCACGTCGTCCTCAGTTGTCGTTGCCTGAAAAGTCGCGCGGCCGAGGGTTTCATCTATTGATATGCCAATTAAATCGCCTGTCTTGACAATTCGTCGCTTCTGCTCAAAGTATTCCTTCAGCGCAGCGAACAGACTCGGTTGGAGCACGCGATCTGAGGATAACGGAGTGGAAAGCTTTAGCAATGTAACCTCCTTTGCCAGTGGCGGTAAAGCAGTACTAGCGAGGCGAGGCTTGTGGATGACATTTCTTGGTAAGTGTGTTGGGGCTGGAGGGGCTAAAGGAGTAATGCGAAGATGTGAAGGATTTCCCAGATTTGCTAGAGTGATTGGTGATAGATACGCTTGAGAGGCTATATTGCTGGCTGCAAAGCCGGAAAAGCTCGGTCGGCGTTCGAAATCGGCGTTCTTGACAACAGGATATCGCGGCACCTTTTTAATCATGCTCTCTGGCAGCCCGAAAAGTTTGGCTGGGCGCCACTCTGGCTGGTCCTCATTCACTCCGCCAAACGCACCGAGGGCCCAGAGAGGGTTCTGGGATGGTTCCGGTGCAACTTCGATCCTCACCCAGTCACCCGAGAAGCACCCAACTTTGACAAGAGTATTGGTATCCACAAACACTCGGGTTTCACTATCATCCTCACGTGCTGGCTTGGGATACAACATCTCATTGTCGATGGCCTGAAGCAATCCTTGGGCTTTGAAAACGCGGCCCTTGGACGGAGCGCCTCCGCGTGTCGTCGTGGCTGTGAAACTTGAGAACACTGAACCTGGTGTAGCTATGCCGTTGGTAAGGAAATTACCAGGACGAGGTGTTGCGGAACTGAACGCTGACAGTACGCCAGATGATTGAGGCGGCAGTAATGGAGCGTTCAGAGAGATTATGTCCTCCGAATCGTCCGAAAGATCCCCTGCATCTGAGCCCGACATGTCGGAGTCTAAATTATCGGTCGACTCTCCGTCGGGAGGCGTGTTGTTTTGTGAGGAGCCCCGTTCCTCGGCGGCAGAATAGAATTGCTCGTTGGATGTGTCCTCACCTTCCTCCTCGCCGTAGCCACTCGATATGGATGGCTGTCTCGAAGATGGGAGAATCCGAATCGGCTTGATGCCGCGATGTGATTGGAGGATCACAATTCTAGTAGTAGGCAACAGTAGGCCTTGTGCGACTGGCTCACATGCTGTTATCCTCGCTGGCGGAGGGGGTACGTGTGTGATTGGGTGGGCCGGTAAGGGGAGATGTAACATGTCGCCCGTATGGACTATGAACGGCGATTTGAGAGCGTCTCGTACGGCCTTGCTCCATACAATGTCTTTGTTAGTTTGCTCAGCTGTATGCGTATCTCTGGAATTGCCATTGGTCTTCAGTAACCGATCTCTGGAGATCTTGTTTATGCCATTGAGCCGACTACCATCGAAACCACCACCGAACTTCGCATGAACCTCGTCTAACTTTCGCAATTCTTCAGTGTCAAGCGTGACAAAGACGGTGTCTAGCCCGATGGGTACGACACTAAAGATACGAATTTCGATTGGGGTATCTCGTCGGGGGGTCTTGGTCGGTGCAACGGTTTGAAGTATGTGAATGAAAGATTGCAGGCCTTGCATCGAAGGTGAGATTCGGAGAGAAGAGTGCGGTCGATTTGTAGAGCCATCAGCTCTATCAGGAGCTCGAGCGGGTAGGATGGTCCACGAAGCGCTTGTAGGTGCAACGGAACAGCTCGGGAGCCATGGGGTTATTGCGACGTGATAGATGGTCTGTTGATTAATACCAATACTGCCGGCATCTAGACGGTTTGTTAGAGGCGCAAGCAAAGCAAAGCAAGCATGTGGAAAGACATGACCGACCTGGGAATAGATTCTGGATAAGGTCTTCTGACAAGGTGCCCACACCATCCTTGATGCGATCGTCAAGTAGTAGGTGCGCCGAAATGGCAGAGCGATCTACTCTTCTCCTCCCGCGGTGCCTCTTGCGCGAGTGGGTGATTTCATTTAGAGTGTCAGACATAGGTGTGAAAGGACTGGAGGGAGAAGTGTAGCCAAAGCAGAGAGGAAATATGAACAAGGTAGGAAGAATGCGGCTCTACGACGCGTTGCTAAGGCGAGTTATTCATGTGACAAGCAGCAGTGTATACCTAGGTAAGTGGATAGGTAGTAACAAAGCAAAGTACAGCAAGTGTCCAAGTCAACAATAATACATGATGAATCCAATGCGGTTGCTGAGCGGAACTAATTGCCAAGCGTCCGAACCTCGGCAAATGGCCATGATGATTGACGGGTAAGGTACCACGCCACGGTACGTACCTGACTCGTAGGTACGGCAAAGTTGATTGAACATCCAGAGTAATAACTCTGGACAGGGGAATAAGTTATCTACATTTCCTCGATGATACAATAATTCACCATAGTACAGCATGTATGAACCGTACTCCGGACATCTTCCGTATAAATGCATGCATGGGGGATTTATGCCGTGCCATTTGGGCTTCCCTTGTCATCTTCTCTTTGCTATGGGGTAGGAAAGCTAAACTACGAGTACAAGATGAATGGATACATTGATAGGTGGAGAGTATTTGTACTTAGAACTGGTTGCACGGAAGATGCCCTGCATAGATAGATACTAGGGTCATATCTCTTCACCATCACTCAAGGCCAGGCCCCATGTCGTAGTTCGAGAATGCATTTTCATTATTTCTAGATTTCTACAATTACCATCATGACAAAGTTGAGTGGCGTGGGTGGGTGGTCGATTGATCGTCGCCCCGAGGTGCGGCAATCGAGACAGGGACATGGCAGGGTAGGGCAAAGGCAAAGCGGCAAAATTAATGGGAAGGATAGATAAGTTGGCACATTGGCTAAGTAATCAGATACATACTCGTACTATAAGCGCTCACAGCGCGTTTATGCTTACTTTACCCGCTTGGGTACATAGAGTGCCAAAAAATTGTTGAGCAGGGCCAATGGTACGAGGTGGATTCATGGTGTTAGCGAATGCCTCTGATGTCATTACTCGTACGTTGCGGCCCTGTCGATACTGCTATCATGTGTACTCGTTGTTGTGCTGATCTTTCAGCCACGCATAGGATCGCTATCACGTTCTTTGAAGTACTTGATGTATGTGGTAAATGCCCAAGTCTCATGAATTTACCAAGGCACAGCGCACGGTATCTTTTCCCCCTTCTTTTTCCACATCGTCGTTATGATCTTGCACCTCAGCCGCCCCATCCACTATCATTTCAGCACAGAGAGCTCTCCCTTTACTGAAGTACCTAACGAACGGCTTCCGTTGAGTTCAAGCAATGCCCAGTGCTGAAGCAGTTCATGCGCTCATGGAGAAGGTCGGTGATGCTGGAGAGAAAACCAAGTCGAAAACAAAAGCTGCCATTGATTTCTCCCATCAATCCGAGCGCCTTGGTCAATATGTGCCAGGTCAAGAAGATGAGACCACAGGGTCAACGCAAGCCGTCGAGGCAAACTTTGTCACGCCCCAAGATCCCGTCATTCAGACCATGGATGGGGGCCGACTGCCTGCAGTGCCCGTCGAAGAGGCAATCAAGCTCAACAAGCTTAGAGACGTAGTCGACAAACGTGACCCTTCCCAGCGCAAAGAAATTAAGGCCACCACGCGTGAGTCAAGAGATGGAACCAAACATGGGGCAGCACATTCCGGTGAACATGTCACCAAGGAAGACGATGGGATCGATGCTCCACTTCGAGATGCCAAACCTCCCTCAAGGACGAATCCGCTGTTTCCCCCCATGCCTTTGTATGGACCTCCAACCCCGCTCAGACGAATACATTGCTGGACTTTTCGTGTCTCATCAGCAGTATTATCTTTTCTCTTCTTAGTCGTCATCATTCTTGGCGCCGCATTTACCAGCATCCCGCTTGCAGCTAAACATGTCTGGTTTCGGATCACATTACGTGACCCTAATTCACGCAGGCCGTTCTTCAAAGAGGAGAAAACACGACGTAAGGCTAGGCGGATAGCTGACAAGGCGTGGGCTTCGGGTACAAATGTTGGCTTTGGCGACGATGTTGAATGCGACTCAGACGTAAAAGGACTCGACGACTTCGCTCCTCTAGAAGGAGGACCCGACCCGGTTACCTGCGATGTCCGGTATTATGCTCGTCGTGTAGGGCTTGATTGCGAAATCTTCGAAGTGCAGACGGAAGATGGTTTTATCATTGAGCTCTGGCATCTCTACAACCCAAAGAGGTACCAGAGGACGAATCCATCCCAACGCATGCCCCATGGCCCAGACAACTTTCAAGATCATGCGTGCCATGTACCTGCAGCGGATGACCAGTCAGGCGAGAAAAGATATCCTGTTCTCATGATTCACGGCTTGCTTCAGTCAGCGGGTGCTTTCTGCACAAACGATGATGACAGCCTCGCTTTCTTCCTGGCCAAATCTGGGTATGATGTGTGGCTCGGAAGCAATCGCTGCGGCTTTCATCCAAAGCATAGCATGCTAAAGTATAGCGACCCTCGGATGTGGGCTTGGAATATTCGTCAAATGGGGGTCATGGACCTCCCAGCCCTAATCTCACGCGTTATATCAGAGACTGGATTTCATAAAATTGGCCTCATCGCACATAGCCAAGGTACAACACAAACTCTAGTTGCATTGGCTAAAGAGCAACGTCCCGAGATTGGAGAGAAGATTAGTGTCTTTTGCGCTTTGGCTCCAGCGGCATATGCAGGCCCATTGATCGGGAAGATATACTTTAAATTCATGAGGATAATCAGTCCCGCGATGTTTAGAGCAATTTTCGGCATCCATGCTTTTATTCCCTTTATGATGACCATGCATTCGCTCCTGCCTTCCCGACTGTACGGAGCGATGGGATATCGTGTCTTCTCGTTCTTGTTCAACTGGACAGATGACCGATGGGAGCAGGATTTGCGAGATCGAATGTTTCAGTTCGCCCCTGTGTATGTTTCTGCGGAATCCATGCGTTGGTGGCTTGGAAGAGAATGCTTTGCAAATCACAAATGTATCCTTGCCACTCGGGAAGAGAACACGATAGAGGACCGAGAAGATGAACAGGATGACCAGCGACTCGACTATTCGAGCGACGAATCTGGTAGCGATGGCGAGGCCAACTCCACTAGCACGCCACAATCACCATCTGACAGACAACGTGCTGACTTCCACCATCATAAAAAAGATCGCTCACGCTTTGCGTGGTATGGGCCCGGGACCCCTCCCTTTGCGCTGTGGGTTTGCGGTGCCGACGATCTGGTTGATGGTCGTAGGCTCCTTCGCCGCTTTGAACGCAACCGCGAACCACATGTTGATGTTGTGCATTCAAAAGTTATTGAAGGTTATGAACATTTAGATGTCATTTGGGCGATGGATGCTATAGAAAAAGTGGGAAAGGAGATACGAGAAGTCATATGGAGGACTGCGCCCGAATCAGCACGACGCGTTTGCAAAATACCGCGGGGTTGCCAAGATATTGTAGACTTTTACAAGCGAACGGAAGAGAGAGAACAAGGCACTAGAGAAGTCGATACGACAGCTGGTGAGTGGAGTAGTAAGGGCGCACAGCAGGTTTCTGGTGGAGGCGGAGAGGGGCATCGCGATCTCGAGGCAGAGGTGGCGAAGGGGGAAAAGATGCGGTTGTGATGTTAGGTTAGGAAATTCGCGGTCAGGTGAAACGGTTCCACGAGTGTTAAAGTTTTCCCAATTGTTCCACCGTTCTTTATGCCGCAAGTAGGGGTTCAGAATGCCTATCAGCTATCCACGGTAGAAAAATCTTTAGAGTATGTCTTTAATTATCTCACAAGTGAGAAAGAACTTGATGGGATTCTCCGTGTCGGAATGATCTGCCTTTTAGACATTCGTGTTGGAAGTGGCATGAGTCGATAGGAATTGATTATGCGTTTAATGGGGGGTTTGCCCAGCTTCCCCCGTTCGCAGAGTACAGAGGGTTGCAGCCCTTTGTACATGTATTCTTATTGAATACTACGAGTACCAAATGTATTGGGTTAGTGACCGCAAGCTAGAAACTCAAGCTTCTGTGAGCACCCATGAACCTAATGAGCTAAATCTACACAATGCAATAACAAATACGGCATGGCATTCTGCACCTGGCAGAACACAGCTATCGATGCCAACGCCCGGCCGATAGTCAATTCACACTGACTGTGCTTCCATATTTCCATTCGAGCTAGTATGTTCCATTTTGACGTCGTCCCTAGTTTCCAATACTTCGGGTTTCCATTTCACAAGTAGTTTCTTCGCCTTTGGCTTGGCTCGATCATCTGTGACCAGTCAGCTAATGTATCTTTAGTCGAGTGAAAAAGCTTACTGGTATACCACATCTCCTCCAGGACCTGTATGCATATTTTTCTCGCTGGCGGTTTGAACATGTAGATGTACTGCAGGACCATGATTGAAAGATCAATGCGTTCGGGATCTTCTGCCATCTTCTTCATTCGCTGTAGTATTTCTTTGTCCAGCTCCGGAATCTCTGACATAAGTCGTAAAAGGCCTTTATCACTCCCCTCAACAAAAGGGACTATGCCATCCAGTACCCGCAAAACGCACCGTTTATAGTGGCTGTTGGGGTTCAACTCGTCGACCGTAGTGCCGTTAACTGATTCCCTGGCATCGAGCCGCGTAGCGTCGGCCTGAATGCGATCGTTATACCATTCCTCAGTCAACCAGTTGACAGCAACATCGATGCGTTTCCGCCAATCATACATGATGTAAGTGTAAATGGCTTCTCGAATTGTATCACTGAGCGATTGACGCCCCTTTTTCGCATCATGATATTCGGATTTGATAAGTTGATTTGCATCCAAAAGACCACCCCGTGCTCGTGTGGCAAGACGAGATAGAATTGTGACCCAAGCGTCGCGGTCGTAAGTATTCGCTGCAAGGCGATTGAAGCCGTTCTTCGTCCCCTTCGCCTTGGAAGCTACTTCTTCGGTAGCGGATATGAGTCCCAATAATCGCCGTACCGTCATGTCGCCATAATTGTATGCTTCTTCTCTAGTAAGGGGTGGCGCTTCGGGGAGCCTGTAGGGCGCCAGTGATGCTTCCGGGACACGATCTCTAACAATATTTTCTGGAGGGGCACCATCCAAACGATTGGTGAGCTGTTCCGCATCTTCAGGTTCGAAATCAGGTTCGAAATCAGGCTCGTATTCCTCCTCATCATCGACCGATACTGGGTAGGTTGGCTGGACAGGCAGTGCGGTACGAATGGAGTCTTTGCTAAGATCGAGATAGCGTGAACGGACAATCTGGAAGAAGGCTGGTCAGCACAAGACAAACAACAAACAGGAAGGTGTGCCAAGCTACGGAAAGTCTCCAGTATTTCAGACCATGCACACTGATCGCAGTGAGCACAGCGGATGAGGCTATACGTACATTGATGGCATTACCCAACTTCGTTTCGTCAATTGATCGAAGGACAAGAAGCACAATTTTCAACAACTGTTCTGGATCCTTGAAGGCTTGTACATCAAAATTTGCTGTGTTGCTGTCTGCATCTATTGTGTATAGCTGGCGGTAACTGACGGGACCGGGCGGCAGACGAGGTATCGAGGCTGGCGTGATGGAAGCATTTGCGCCCACCCGTTGCCTCTTGGCCGGATCCAATCCATCTGTTGGCTCAGCTGGAGCAGGTCTCTTGCGATTGGCCTCATCAAAAACATCGAGGCGCATTCGATGCATTCGCTCTAGATACTGTTGTATTCGGCCATTGAAAGCACCCTCTGGGTTTCTGTTCCAACATTAGCCCAGTTTCCGATAACAGAAAGGAGGTGTTTTTTGCCTTTTGATCACGTTTATTAGCAAAGCGCGCGTTGTCCGCTCCATTGATCGCATTACGACTTTATTCCTCGGCGTCATCGGTGAATTCGCAAGTTTGAGGGGGTTGAAGTTGAGGACACTGGCCAAAACTTTGTTCGCAACAACAGGGCGACGTTGTATAAGCATCCCCAAACTATTGAGGGTCGCAGTAACAAGTAGAGCATCACTGTCCTTCATTAGATACATTGTTGTGTCGATTAACGATCTAGCTAACCTGTGATCGCCGTGTATAATGTCTAGAAGTCTGTCTAGAAGTCCGGACGCTTCAGCCTCTAGGTTTGCGTACGGGATGAGTGCATGATCGCGTGGGACAAGAGCAAGAGATATATCATTCTGTTCAGGGCGCTATCGCAGAGTTAGTGATCCGTTAGTATTTCATGGTCGGAAGATTATTTACTCTGGGGTCCGCGACCATTCCTGGTGTCTGAGCAAGAATGATCTGTTGGACGAATTTGACGCAACAGATGCGTACGCCGGGAGGCGCTGAATCCATTCGACGCAGAATGTTGGACTTCACTGCGAGCATGATCTGCCAATGCTGCGTATCGTTGGGATGGAATATACTATGCACAGATCCAAGAGTGAGACTAAATTCAACACACTTCCCTGTATTGCGATACGGCAAGATAAAAGCAACGGGGCTAATTCTTCTTGGTACCAGAGATGTCCTTGATGACAATTCTGCAGCAGTATACTCGAGGGAACTCTAGACTTACATATGCCGATAGACCAGTGGATATATGCTCGCTGATGCCTGGATTGAGCTCTTAATCACTCCCGTATCCTTCACCTCTAGCAGGTCCTTCAGGATGGGGAGTACAGACAGGCTGACGCTTTCCTTGTCGTGCGATGACCAAGTAGGGGCTGCGAAGGCCTCTGCTAGGAAATCGGCACCCCATCGTTGAATTTCAAGATCGGAATTTGTGACAGCGGAGGTTATTATAGGAAGCACGCCAGGGAGGATGGTATTGTAGTATTTTCCTTCTCCAAGAGCTAGCGCGCGCGCGGACTCTAGTTGGGATAGATTCATGGTGGTGATGGCAGTCGTGGAGGTCCGCAGGAGGTAGACTGGACGAGTGTATCAATTCAGATACAAGTGTTGACTGTTGGCACGCGCCGCGTATAGTGAGGCTCGTATGCGCGATGAAGCCCGGTTGGCTGTTCGACCAAGACCATCCGCCATCAACAAACAATCACTCAATATATGCTTGCGCACAATGGAGGGGAGGACCTAAAATGAGCAGATTAAGTCGGTATCTTTGTAGGCGTTTCCAGGTGGCTATGGGGACGGGTAGGTAGGTAAGGTAGGTGGTTTGGTGAAGCTGCTACCAGAGCCTCCATGTTCAATGAGTGTGTACATGGGAAGGCTAACTCGCCAAGACAGGTTGAAGTCCGTGCGGGCTTTCTCCACATTTATTCATTGTTGCCCGCCTTCACCTCAGATGATTTCTGGCCATCGATACCATATCAACATTTTGCGCTCTTGCACCGACAACATGGTATAGTGAGTGGATTCAGACTGTTCAAATCACTTATCTCTGTTTCGAGTTTCCTGATCAATGACAGTCGCCCGTTTCAATCGACGTACTACGATGCGCAGATGAGAGCCTCGCCTGCTCTGCTACGAGCGCGAGCACCATATCTGATTAAAAACACCATCACTGGTACCGCCATATTCGCCACTGCCATAGGCATCTGTACGCAATGGAGAAACTACCATCGTTTTCGATAACATTTACTAACATCTAGTTGATGCCTACACTATTCACGTCATCTCGCAAGATGAATTCGACGACGTTATTGTCCCCGATAAACCCATACATCGCACCGACGCACAGAGCGTCGTGGAAAGGGCTCGACAGGCATCGGATGCTCGCAAGCATCAGGAGTCTTAACCGGAGCGACATGGGGGCGTCATGGGCCTGTAACAATTTGTACAATCATTAACCTGCATTGGGAGGAGTATACTGAAGATTCATTTGTTTCGCATGACTATCACGCACTGCAACACGAATGAAATTTCTACCATGTGATGTGGTCGTGATTCAATGGTGAATGTATATCCTGCGGGAATGTCTAAAACCCTTGGGACTCTTTCTATCTCGACTTTAGAGACGCGAGGATTCGTTCCTTACTACCGGAGTTATCTGCCAGCCAAAATTCTGATCGCACTGTTAGCGACGGCACAAGATATGTCGAGTCATGGAGAACCTACAGGCTTCTCTACTTCCGAACTCTTGATTATCACATTCACAACCACGGGTACTTTGGCGTGAAAGCCGGCAATGACGGCTCTGTGAAGCTCCTCAGGAGTGCGCACGAAAAAACCCATCCCACCAACTGCTTCCGCCAGCTGATCATACTTTACTTCCCAGCTCAAGGCATGGCTTCTCAACCCCGCTTCGCCTTTTGCGCTTTTGTCGCGACGGTAACTCCAATCGTCAGCCGACCTGGAGCCACTGAAGTATATACCGCTATTATTGATGACAATAATCAGCACGTCCATGGAAAGGCGTGCCATGGTCTCAATCTCCATAGCGCTGAAGCCAAACGCACTATCTCCTTCAATGGCAATTATCTTCTTCCGGCCATACGGACCTGAAGAGGCTTGAGGATGGACGGAATTATATGCTTCATGAGCTGCAATAGCATATCCCAGGCCGACCCCCATTGTTGCATATGATCCTGCATCTAAACGCAATCTAGGAAACTCTACCGGGAAAACGGACCTTGCGAAATCCATGGTGTTGCTGCCCTCTGCTATGTATACTATGCCACCCGCCTGGGGAGGAGATATTGAGTGCAACGTTGTCCTGATTAATTCAAATGCTTGCGAGTAGGTGAGCGGAGCAGATGGGTTTGAGGCCGCTCGAGCAGCAGCAGCTTCGTTTCTTGCTTTTGATTCCGTTATCTTGGCCATGAAGTCCGAACTCGTGGACTTGTACTGCCAGCCAGCGAATTGCCGAATCAGCTGGGCCACCACAATTCTGACATCACCCAGGATGGCTTCACCCGCGTTTGCGGCATTGCGACCAATCTCCTCTGGTGAAATGTCAACTTGGAGAAATCGTACCTTAGGATTCCATTTTGGTGGTGCTCCGTAATGGAAGATCCAATTGAGTCGCGCGCCTAGTATCAGTACTACATCTGCCATCTTTAGGGCCATAGAACGGGCTGAAGCAACATTCTGAGGATGTGAATCCGGGACGACCCCCTTACCCATCGGACTGGGCAAAAATGGTAGTTTTGTTCTTTCGATCAATGTTCGAATCACTTCCTCTGCACGCGCATACGCAGCTCCTTTTCCGATTAAAACAAGTGGTGCTTTCGCAGTCTGTATCAAACCTACGATCTTCTGTAGCTGTACTTCCTGAGCCGCCCCTGAGGGCGGTTTCGTCACCTCTAGTGTTCCGTCAATATCGTCAATCGACTCCAGCGGTTCCATTATGACATTTGCAGGGAGATCGACGAAGCCCACCCCGGGACGCCCATACCAGCAACGGCGATACGCTTCGGCGATGGTGTTAGGCACGTACGAAGCGCTCGAGGGCCGCAGAGCGGATTTACTATGGGGCGTAAGTAGACTTATAGAGTCCAGCTCCTGGAATGCGCCCCGGGATATGAGATGAGTTTCAGCAGAGCCGCCCAGCAAGAGCAAGGGGAAGTTATTCTCGGAAGCGTTACCGACCTGTGCATGTGCTCAGCCTTGCTTGACATTTTTGGTGCGGTGCTAGGAGGCGATCGAACGGTCATTCGCGCAAAGCGAAACCATTCCCAACGTCGTGGCATGCTGACTTACACCAGCTATTGCGTGTAGAATGCCTGGTCCGCCCACTACCAGGCACACGCCGGGTCTCCCTGTGAGATAACCATACGCTGTAGCCGCATAACTAGCAGCCTGCTCATTACGAAATCCAATGAAGCGAATGCCAAGGTCGATAGCCTGCTCAGCAATGTCCGTGATGGGAACGCCGACAACTCCGAAGATGACAGACACTTGAAGATCTTTCAATGTCTTGGCAATGATATATGCTCCTGTAACGTTGGGTTGCTCCATTTTGGGCGTGAAGGGTATGTACCTAGGTAGAGTATGCCAGGTGACTATGCCAAAGAAGAACACGAAGAGAAATCTCAAGAAACCCTCATGGCGAGAGAAATGATGGGTTGTCGTTCGATTTACTATATAGAAGCTGACGGGAAAGATTATACATTAATGTTAGGAGGCGTAGGTATTGCGGTATCGAGCCGAGGTTGCTAGTATTTTGAGGAGATTCGAGATGAACCAGAGGGTAATACCAGATGTACTACGCAGAACACAGACGCAGGGCGAGTACACTATTGCATTGAAGCTATCTAATTGGCGTAAACTTGTGACGACTCAAACACAGAAAAGTGCTTGATTACCTAGATTAGGTAGAATTGGTGGAGGGAGCTCTTGATGTTCTGTTGTCCACGTGACAGAGCCGATGCTGATGTACAAGTACGGTGCACCCGTCCCGACGAAGGACTGTCGGGTCCGGAAAATCTCCGCCGCTAGGGAGACTAATACTAAGAAGACGTACTCAGGTGTTGGTGTTGAAATAAAGCTTGAGTCGCGGAAGGTATTCTCGGGATATCGATTGTGGGTATCATTGATGCTCATACTGGGTAATGATAATAGTTACTTGTAACTACAGTGAGGATGGGCCGTCTGACACCCTTTTCTCTCCCAATACCAACAGTAGGAGTGTTATCATCCGTGGGAAACTTGTAACGTTGATTCAATTCAGGAAAGGAGAAGATATGATTACTCGTAAGTACTCGCACCACGTAAGTGTACATAATAACGATCACAATGATGATGCAATACCCTCGTACCTAGGTACTCGTACATCGTACTCGTAGTAAATAAATGCAGACTTGTAGAATTGGCATGAATGGTTTTGGCTGTGGGGTCGGAGTAACCTGGCCTGGTGCGGGCGTTGGCGTAAGAGTTGGGACGTGCACACGGATTGCGGGGTCGCATGGTTGGATGAATGGCACGTGCTCTCCCGGCAGAATATATCGGCTTGGAGTGGTTTTATCTCCTCTCTAATTGGACCAGCAACTCCATACCTTCTCCTCGTAGACTTGCGAGTAGATGCTCCTCCAGATATCTAATCGCTTCTTCTAGTCTCCATCTACTTACCTGTCTTCGGATGAGGGTAGCTGGAGTCCGACTTATCCCCAGACCAAGCACTTAAGCATCCGATCCCTTTATTGGTATAAGAGACGACGCTGCTCGAATTGGCCCTTGCCTTCTCTACCACAGATATCTGCTACAGGTCTTTGTTTTGGGGGTGCCTTTTTTCTTCTAACTATCCCCGAAAGAATAGTTTTTAAAAGGAAATCACTACATCATGATCCTCTCCAGTTTGCTTTCTCCTTACGTTCTCCTCCTCCTCCCAGTCCTATACTATATTCTCCCTTACATTCGCAATTGGTCAATCCGAAGCATTCCTGCTCCCTTCCCCGCAGCATTCACAAACCTTTGGTTGTTGTGGCAGTGCCGGAAGGGTGTGAGGTATCTCTCCGTCGATGCCGCCCACAAGAAGTACGGCACATTGGTTAGGATCCAACCCAACCATGTGTCCATTGCGGATGCAGATGCCATCCCACATATCTATGGCCATGGCAATGGATTTTTGAAGAGGTAGGTACCACTATGCCTGCTTTGAATTACACCTTCGACGCGTCACCTTGCTCTCTTCTCCATCCCCCAAACAAACGAAGAATTATCGCGAGTCCTAACGTGAACCTATCTCAACAGCGAGTACTATGACGCATTCGTATCGATTCGTCGCGGCCTCTTCAACACTCGTGATCGCCATGAGCACACTCGCAAGCGCAAGACCGTGTCCCACACGTTCAGTGCCAAATCCGTTGGCCAATTTGAGCAATACATGCACCACAACCTCGAGGAGCTGCGCAAGCAATGGGACCTGCGAGCCGCTACCAAGAATGGCGGTTTCTATCAAATGGATGCCCTGAACTGGTTCAACTATCTCGCCTTCGACGTCATCGGCGATCTAGCCTTCGGTGCTCCGTTCGGCATGCTGAAAGAGGGACGGGACTTTGCAGAGGTTCGAGCTACACCCGATAGTGAGCCAACCTTCGCGCCTGCCATTGAGGTTCTAAATAGACGTGGCGAGGTATCTGGGTAGGTCAATTTCAGTTGGTTGTGTCTGTCTCATGGCCAGCTTCGCGGTCTCATAGTCAGTACTAACAGCTACAATGCAGAACGCTCGGCTGCCTCCCTCAACTCAAGCCCTATGCAAAATACCTGCCCGACCCATTCTTCTCCAACGGCATCAAGGCTGTCGAGAACCTTGCCGGAATTGCAGTTGCCCGCGTCAATGCCCGTCTCCAGAAACCGGATACCGACCGTGTCGATCTGCTCGCCCGACTGATGGAAGGCCGCGACGAGCGTGGCCAAAAGCTAGGTCGTGAGGAACTCACAGCGGAAGCGCTGACACAGCTCATTGCCGGAAGCGACACTACCTCCAACACCTCCTGTGCGCTGTTATATCACTGCCTCCAGCATCCGGAGGTGGTCCGAAAACTTCAAAGAGAATTGGATGAGGCCATTCCTGAGAAGGATGTGGTGCCAAACTTCGCGAGCGTCAGGGATCTCCCGTATCTCGATGCTGTCATCAAGGAGACGATGCGTATCCACTCGACCTCCTCGCTCGGCCTGCCCCGCGTCATCCCACCAGGCCCCGGTATTACGCTCAATGGCCACCACTTCCCACAAGGTGTCGTTTTGTCCGTACCCGCCTACACGATCCACCACTCCAAAGAGATCTGGGGCGAGGATGCCGACACATTCCGACCGGAACGCTGGGAGAAGTTGACCGAACAGCAAAAGGGAGCTTTCATTCCATTCAGCTACGGCCCAAGAGCGTGCGTGGGCCGGAACGTGGCTGAGATGGAGTTGGCACTCATTGTTTCCACTGTATTCAGGAGATATGAATTTGAGTTACGGCAAGGAGAGATGGAGACTAGGGAAGGTTTCTTGAGGAAGCCGCTTGGCCTTGAGGTGGGCATGAGGCTAAGGAAAGATTGAATTCCTCGCCACTGGTATCAATAGAGCGACTTGTATCATTATTTTGTTGCCAAATCGAGAATCCTGAAAATAGTCCATAAGTCGTAAACGGCCTTCAAAGGAGCTTGCGCATACGTATTTATCTACCTGCCTAACTACCTACAATACACCTATAGTAATGATCAATGTTAATCGTGCTGTGCCTGTGATAGTAGTTACTCGATTCATTTCTACATGTAATAGGGATTAGAAGTGTTTGGTTATAATCAACTATTATCGAATCGATTTCCATCAGCAAGTATCAATCAACTACCTCCTCAATCAACCTCAATCAACCTCCTCAATCAACCTCAATCAACCTCCTCAATCAACC